AATAGGTTGTTGTAAATGGACTATGCAAACAGCATCATATGGAAAAATCGAGGATGGTTTTCCGTGAAGAAGGGGAGGATGATGTGACCAAGGCTACCATGGATGCAACCATTGCTCACATCATGGATGAACAAGAAGATATAGAGATCAAGTCCTCCAAGTGCTAGAATCCGATGCGGCCACATGCTACACTACTGTATTCAAACGGTCGCTGAATCTGCATACGACCTTCGTTTTCGGCCCGTGAGTACTTGATGGAAAGATCTCAGAGCCCTCTTTCCAACAGATCTAGTTTCATCGCCAAATTCCATGTCGTTTGGCCGCAATTACAGAAACAAGTTCTTGGGTCACCTATATTGGGCCAATGGGTTTGTAACTTCGTTTGGGACCCCGGCCCAAGTGGGGCTCATGTGGGGTGCGCCCCAACTAGGTGGAGCACGAACCTAGGCACCCCTAGGTCATCCTCCCACCTCCATAAATAGTTAGGTACCCCTTTAGGGTTTCTCGGGTTTTGTTTAGATGAAAGTTTAGCCATTGCTACTTCCTTACAGCGCGCGTGTCGGCTAGACCGTCCGTCTGCTTGTATTCGAAACCCCAACTTATCTCGTGTATTCATTCCTATTTGCAATTCAGATTGCTTTTATCTTGTTATTGCTTGTTTCTTTGATTTGTTTACAGGAATAAGGTTGATTTGCATCAGCAAGTTCAACAACCCACGGAGAGGTGTATCGATCGCTAAGGCGCAACACAACGTCTCGTACGGTTGTAATCAGATCGTCAACGTTTCTCCCAAATCATAGTTAGCTACAACTCACCGAAAGATCGGGCCAACAACAGCCTTGAGTGTCGAGTGGAACTCTGGGTTCATCAGCAAATGAACGAGTTAAGGTTCTCGATCGAAGACGTTGGAACAACTATTGCCGTGCTCGCTTGACCGTTCTCGGTGTGTTCAGAAATAAGGCTAGATCTCATCGGCCTTTGTAGGCACTTTATTAGGTTTGTCTAGGTTAATCTCCGATGTCAAGCGAGAAGATATGGAGCATGTGACTAAGTCTCCCGCCTTGCTGTAATCGAGAATTTGGATTGAAGTCAAGAAATTCCATCTCGGCGGGTACACCATCGCTTTGTTTCATATTCCTTGTCGAGCCCCATCAACCGTTCTCGAGTAATCGAGTAGGCGTAGAGTCTGCGACAAAGCCTTGAAATCTGACTTGATTGTTCTGATGTCTGATTTTCCTGAAATCAATACTCAGAACATTTGCCGTACTCGCTTAGTCGATCCCGGTATAGAATCGTAGAGACAGGGAGTCTTCAACAATGTTGAAATAGCCCCCCGAGCGAACGCTCAAGGGTAACATGACATGATATGTATAGAAAAATTGAAAATAAATTGAATCTGCATGTTACAATAAAAGAGTACTCTCGCTAGAGTCGCCCTCAGCAATCGGAGTTTGGTACCCTTCCTAGCCCCCAGCTGTTTTTATGGAAAAGCCATTTTCCACAAAGACAGCTTGTATCTTATAACAAACCATGCAGAAGCTTGACAAATCCTAGCTCCCAGTAGTGAAGTTGGAAAAATCATTTTCCAACTACACGGCTTGGTTAATACGCGTCCATTGAGCACTCTTACATGAACAGTGTAAAGGGATAGTAGGACCGACTTCAGGACGAAGGCAATATAAGAAAAGAGGATCATCGGACGAATATTGCACATATAAACACTTACAGAAGTTGACGTATAAGACGTGATGAGACGACTTCCACACCGGGTGAAGACCAGGTGTATAGTTATACTCAACAAATCGCAAAAGTAGTGGGAGAATCGCTACACCGCTGGTCAAAGACCTATTGTAGTCATAACTCGACCACTAGAAAATTGAGGTACGAGAACCGCTACGCTGCTGGTCGGGGACCAGCCGTAGTCGTAACTCGACCATTAGAAGTCGTGGTACGAGGATCGCTACGTTGCTAGTAGAAGACTAGTCGTAGTCGTACCTCGACCATTTGAAGGGAATCCAGAGTAATAGATAGACGACGTTCTTGTGACTTCGAGAACTGCCTCCTGATGATGACGAAGGCAATGAAGAATTACCGTAGTCAGAGGTTCGGCTCCTGGACCTACTACCTCATCCTCGGGCCCTCTAGAAGTCTGGGGATCTCGAGTTTCGTCGTCGTCGTGTGATGTCGTGATGTCGTTAACCTTGTCTGTTGTCGTCCTGATGTCGTTAATCCTGGACGTTGTCGTCCTGGTGACAACGATGATCTAGTGGGTCTTGGTTGTCGCTACCACGACAATGTTGGCTGTTGCGTTAGATGTCGAGATATTGCTGTAACCGATTGGTCAAGGACCAGGAGTAGGCGTATCTCAATCACCTGAATATGAATTTTTAGTTGGTGAGAGATCGCTACTATCTATTGGCCAAGGACCAGGTGTAGACGTATCTTGATCACCTGGAGAGGCGCTAGAGTTGGTGATTACATGTGTATCTCACGTGGCTAGCATGACTCACATAACCAACTTTTAGCATATCCGCATGTCTATTCGCAATCATGTCGGGTGATCAAGCCGACAACGTTCACGAGGAATTATCCGTTAACAACATTTTCTCAAATAGTCCATCCGTGGATGTCTATTCGCAATCATGTCGGGTGATCAAGCCGACAACGTTCACGAGGAATTATCCGTTAACAACATTTTCTCAAATAGTCCAGCCGCAGCCGGCGCTATACATGAGATAAGTCGTCAGTCTTCGTTGGTAGGTTGGGTGTGACAACTCAGCATTTTTCAAGAACGTTCTCAATAAAGCGGTGTACTCGACCGCATCCTACAAGAGTGCTCAATTGTTCCTGAAAAATATTTTCTAGAAGACAAGATATATAGTAGAGAATATCGAGTATGTACTTAAAAGACTGCGCGAATGGATATAACGAGCAGATTAAATATTAGACATTGTGTAAACCGTAAATAAGCATGATTTGTATAAATATTAGACCGTAGTCGGCCTAACACCGGAAACACTTGCACAATAATATTGTATAAAAAACATGCTCTAGGTAAACATAATAAATTATAAATCTGACAATATTTTACAGTCTAAATATAGATACGGTAAATTGTATATAAAATATTGCGTATCTTTGTAGATACATGCCAAAATTAGTAGATTAATTTAAGAAACTAATCCACCAATTACCTTTGTTGTGTACATGTGTAATGACACTGCTTGTGCATTAGTTCTGCTTTGTGTCCACGTGTGCACGTGCTTGCTTGATGTAGTAGTCCGATTGTTTGTCTGTTGCACAGGGACACGGTAGGCTCTATATGTGTACACGTGCATGAATCGGTTTGGTCAGTGACAGTCCTGATCGAGTACGTTTAATATAAGTAAGCCGATCCAGACTGCTTGCGTTGTTGCCGAGTTGGGTTCAGTGCTGCGTCCTCGCGCCGGTTGATGTCGTACATGTGAAGGAATTGGTACCGGATCAACTCCGGAATTTGTCGGGTATCTGCGATGACAATGCCTTGAAGCTTGCTCGATCGTGATAGATAAAACAGTTGGCGATGATGATTTTGATCTGGTTGGAGAACGCACATCGATGGGATTGTAACTCCCACAGTCAAAAGACGTTGAGTAGTTGAAAAATCCACGTGTTGAACCCATCTCGTCGAAAACCTTAAAGCACCAAAATTTCCCTATCTGACGCGCCATTGTCGACATTAATTTGGTATCACGGCTACGGTATTTGGATGGTATGGGGATCGTTGGTACCAGGGTATATGCGAGATTGAAGTAAAAGAAATGAAGACAAAGATTTTATACAGGTTCAGGTCCCTTATATGATAGGTAATAGCCCTACATCCTGTTTATATGGGATTAATATAGAAAACCACATAGCACAACAATTGAAATAACCTATCTAGCCATCGTCGACTTGGCGGCATGAACACCAACTCGTAGTCGACGACAGGGTAGTCTTCCTCCTTGAGTATGAACTCATCGAGATCAGATATGGCGCTAGATCCATCTTGCCGGCATCTGTAGGCACCGGATGGGGTATGTCTAGGCTTATCTCTGATATTGATATGCGGCGGCGTGTGTTGGCTTGTGGCTTTGTGGCGTGTCCCCTCTCGTCCTAGGAGGGCTTGTATTTATATCCATAGATGGCACCTTGTCCAAGTAAGACTAGGGAGATAAAGATGGATACAATCCGAGTAATCCTTGTTGGTTCAATATAGAACTCTATTTGTCCTTTCTTATCCGGAACTCGTTCTATATACGAGGTTTGTTTCCGTATAAGACATGGTATATGGTTGGCCATGCCAAGTTTACTCAACTACTATTAGGTATGTGGTATCCATAACCATGACAATGACCTTGTGTATTTGTGAAGTGATATATCACATATTAATCTTTATTGTTAATGTTTTCTAAAAAAAATATTTATCACCATTTGAATATATAATATACAAACAATAAGTATATACATGTATGAGTCTAAAATAGTTTATAACGAAGAAATCACATACTCTTTCTTCTTCTTTTTGTTGTATGAAGTTATTGATCTTTTATAGTTCGTTCGATCATTTCTCATATTATGAAAATTATATGATTATAATCTATTTTGTTTTAATTTATTTTGTCTTTAAACTAGTTTAACATTAGTTACGTTTTCTGGTTTATATACCTTTAATAATACTACTAAATCATCAGCATCCGGCTTTCAATGCAGATAGTGATTTTTGTTGACGTAGCACTAGAAAGTCCAATTCCAGGTCAAAGAAAAAGATCTAGGAAAATCCTTAAAGCGATCTGCAAGGCAGAGCAACCGATGGCAGACTGCCGAGTAGCATTCCACAGCGATGCTGAAAGCGCCGGCCACTCCAACGCCATCACTCGTTCACTCCTACCCACGACACGCGTCGCGCCGTGTCATCTTCCACAAGCATCTACCACCCACCACTCATCCGCAACCACAAGACCAAATCTCACATCGCTTCCAATACCACCTCCTTCGCTTGCATGATTGCCTCCAAAATATATACGACCAGCGATCGATGAAGCAGACACATACACACGTTTGTAGCTCGCTCACATGGATGAGTCGAGTGACCTCCAGTGGCGGCAGGGATGGCTCGCCGTCGGCCTGCCGCCGGCGCCGGTGGTGGCGGTCTCCGCCATCGTGGGGTTCTTCCTCTACCTGACGTGGCAGATGGACGAGTACGAGGAGCAGCTACGGCGGCGCACGCAGGCCGGGCTGTGGGTGCTGCTGGTGCTCGGGGCGGTGGCACTGGTCCTGCTCGGGAGCCACGCGCTGGTGGACGCCGGAGGGAGGGTCGCCGTGCCGGTGTCGTGGCGGTGGGGCGGCGGCTACGGTGGTAGTAGCGGGGACGACGGCGGCGGCGCGTCGCCGTGGGCCGTCGCGGCGGTGGTGGCGGTGCTGCTGGTGTTGGCGTCGCACAAGCCGTCGTTCCAGATGTTCCGGCCGCCGTGGCACTACAAGTAGCTGCTTCGCTTCACTTCCTCACCCTCCCCGGCTGGCTTACCCTCGTCACTCCTTTTCAATTTTCTGTACAGAAAAGGATTTAGTTTTCTTTTTTTGAGAAGGCTACCACATAATTAAGAGAATACACGTGTAATAGAAGAGTTCATCTTATTTTGCGTACGTATTTGTAGCATCTAGAATGTATAATATTATTGTTACCGATAAGAGAATGCATATGTTTTATCGAATTTTTTTGCATGTATTTGTCCATTTATGGTGTTATGAAATAAATAGATGATCAATCTCAGATTGGTAACCGAAGGTTTGGCATGGCGATTGTACCGTGCCCCGCCCCTTCTCATCCTCTCGATACTTGGCAACAGATCCTCTCGACACTCCTCGGCAACAGGCGCGATGGGTTGCCATCGCGCCTATGGTTGCTCTAATCGCATCTAATATTCTCATGCTGGCGGTTCCGTCGGCTGCCGATTGGTCCAGATGGCGAAATCAGTTTTTGACGCGTGTTACGCTAAGGCGAAGCTTCGAGCAAACACCACGGCGCGGAAAAAGTACCATAGACAGAGACTTGTCTTCGTGCTTGAACCGCAAAATCGGATACAGCGCATCCTCCAACTTGTAAAACTAGTACAAACAAGATCTTTTGGTGGTATTGTCTCTGGTTTTAGCTGACGTGATGTCTACGTGGCTCCTTTAGCTAGGTATTCGTCCTATATGGTATTGACGTTGCGCTTACGTGGCAATTCGATTGGGAAAAAATACCATAGGGACCCATGTGTCAGTTACACTAGATAATAATTAAAAAATAATGGCTTCATATAGGACCCTCATGTCATACTCATTCTCATTCTCCTCTCTGCTCTTTTCTCCTCGCCACACTGCGCCGGTCGGAGCGGGCGAGCAGTGGTCCACGGCGACACCATGCACGCTGTCGCTCGCCACCTTTGGGGCCATGTACTCTCGAGCGCCCCGACGAACGAGCACGACTGCTCCGTCACCGGCTTGCCCATGAACTCCGGAGGCGCCACCGAGGCACGCAGCCTCTACGTACCGCCGCCGCTTGAACCGGAGGAGACCTTAGTAGCGTAGAAGTAGGTGAAGGGTAGGGGAAGCTGTGGGAGCGCATGCGGTGGCGGAGGGAGTGGAGGTCGCCGGCGCACACTCCCCAGACCAAAAGAAATGATAAATTTGTCATGCATGGTGTTGAAAAGAATTTCAATCGGCATGTCACATTGCATATATCGATCGACTAGCCAACCAGGATTCAGGACCAGGACGAACAACCCGTCTGGTTAAATTGGAATTCGTCAGAAAACAAACCAAACGGGATCACGTCGCGGTTGACGACGACGTCGAGTCCTCGAGCGGCGTCAACCTGAATGAATGGTGACGAGAGCTAGCTAGCTCAAGGCTCAAGCTCAGCCCCGGCCAGAAGGCGTCGACCTTCCCGGATACCCATGCGGCTGGCAGGCATCATCCGCTGCACTGGGACTCGGCGCCGACCCAACTCGAACTGGATCTCAACCCTCTCGAGGAAGTTGGCATACTCCAAGCGGCAGTGGGGTCGAACTTTAGCTTTTCGAATTCGAAGGAGGCGGTCCGCGGTCGTGGGTAGGTGTGTAAGTGGGTCAGCCGCGAACCCACTTATAGGTCAAAATAAGCGGGCTCGCGGCTTATTTTAGCTTGTAAGTGGGTTTCGCAGGTTAGCAACTTACACCCTTAGCCGTAGGGTCCCTGCCTCTGGCGACGCGGAAGACTTCGTCCCGGATTGCGGCAGCCACCTCGGGATGGTTGGAAAGGAGCAAGAAGAACGCGGTTAGACCTGCCGGCATTACTGGCAGAAACGAGACGGATGACGTCGCGGAGCTTCCGCTCCTCCCCGATGTTGAGTAGCCGCTTCAACTTCCACCCGCTGCATCTCTCTCTCTCGCTTTGTCTTCAGCTGCATATAACGCGCGAAGAGGGAGGAGACGGTGAGGCCGGCGAGGAAGGCGGGGAGGCCGGCAGCGACGCACGAAGAGGGATGAGGCAGGGCCGGCGAGCTCGCTGTTCTGCTCCGCCCGGTGCTGTGTGGTGAGAAGAAAGGAGAAATGATAAGAGAGGAAGGGAGAGGCTAGCGTGCAGACGTGGCATCCTGACATGTGGGGCTCACGTGGGTCCCACGCTGACACAGTCGCCACGTCAGATAAAACCGGGTCAAAACCACTAAGAGATTAAGTTTGCACTGGTTTTGTAAGTTGGGGGATACGTTGTATCAGGTTTTATGGTTGGGGGATGATCTTGGAACTCGATGACAAATTGAGGGACCTTCAGTGTACCTTTTTCCCCACGGCGCATACACGGCTCTACGCGGTTGCTTGCTTGCAATATGCTCGTGCAGCATCATGGGCCATGCAGGCATGCAGCAGGTGACATGCAGCTCCAATGGCCCATCCAAGCCCATCTGAATGTGGGAAGAATGGAAAGAAGAGTGCTGATCTTAAGATTAGTGGTGCATTGTTAGGCGTTTAAAAAAAATGCAATTCCAAAATGAATTCATGTTGGAATATATATATTTCTTCCTAAAAAAATCGTTCATTTTTTGAATAAAACAAATCCACAGATTCCGAGTGCTAAAACATAAAAACGTGAACGTGCAATTTTATTAAAAAACATTTTACTTATTAACTCGATATCCCCTAGCTAACGTATGTTACTACTTTTTCCACAACCTTTTTGCAAACACAAAAGTAAAACCTGTTGAAGGGTTTCGTGGAATGTATGGTTTTTATAAAGTACTCATATTAATTGAATTTTCTCAGGACAGAAAATACCAACAGCTCTGCCAGCAAATTTTTTGTGTGATCATCAGTATTTTAAACCCAAATTTAAAAGCCCTTCAAACGATATTACGGGCTATAAAAGTTGGGCGTGCCAACTGGCACGCAAATTTTCTAGTTAATCAATAAAGCACACAACGTTATATTCTCTCACTCTTACAATCTCAATTGCCTTTTCAACACGTTATCAGTACTTTGATCTTCACGAGAAAAAGTGATGAAGAAAAGAAGGTATACCTACCTTCAGTTCCATGATCGACACCATTCCTGGCCTTCTTCATCGCCTTCTTCGCCATCTCCACCATCGCTCGACGAGGAGTTGCCACCATCAGCATGACAGGCGTCGGACTAGGGTTGGTGGCCACCACCACCACCCTCAACACTGAATTCTTGTCGCTGCAATTCCGGTCACTCCTCCTCCTTCTCCGCCAGCCCCTGCCTCGCCGGTCGCTGGGGGCGCTCCACCGCATCCAAGTCTAGGGGTATAGTTTTGTACTCACCATGGATGAACCGCGATGGTGCCGCCCACCGATGAGTAGTGATCCCTCCCGCAAGAGATGGAATAGCCACCGGTTCCGCTTGTCGTCACCGTGCCACCACCGACTGCACCTCCACCATCTCCAATGACCACACAGTTGCCAATCCGATGCTGTTCCCCAACTCCCGTGCCACCGGGTTTCGGCTGGACCGGAATCCTAGCCACGTGCACAGGGGAGCCGGCACTCTTCAGTCCGTCCTCGTCTTGCTGTCAATGCCGGAGCCATTGCAGCACACCGCCCCGGCCTCCGCGTTGTTCCTCATGGTTCTGCGAGCCGCACGCTCCGGACGGAGTGGGGAACAGCGTATAGGTCTGACCGGACTCTGACTCCGATGAGGAGTGGGGGCTATCGGCCTAACTTCGGCCAGCAAGCCGCTTTCGGAAAAGGGGGATGCTGCAGCGGAGGAAGGTGGAGCGACAGTGGATGCGAACAGCGGTGGCGATGCACTCGAAGGGGAAGCGGCGGTGGATACGGGTTGTGACGGTGGTGGACTCGGCGGCGGTGGCGAAGTGGACTTGATGGCGGCAGCGAAAATGGGTGGTGACGGTGGCGGTGGCGGAGAAACCGCGGGATGGTTACGTTTCTAACCCTAACCAGCCTGGTGGGCCGCATCATGTTGATTTCGGCCCACCACCCCTTTACATGTTTTCTTCCTTTTCGTTAACGTTAGTTTTAATTAAATTAGCAAATTTAACTTTTAGTCCCCATCCTTTTAGATAATTTAGTTAAGTAGATCATGAGTTGTAAAAACAATTATCTATCTAATGGTCCATTAGATCTCTGATGTGTTATTGGACATATGTATTTATTAATACCTGCTTTACTAAATTTACTTGTTGTCTTAATAAACTGCCTATTGTTGTCTTAATAAACTGGCTTTTGCATATTATTTAAAGACACACCCTGCTTACTCGCTCTGTTAATTTGTAAAATTATTTTAATTTAGGAAATTCTCTTAATTATATATAACATGATTAATGGAGAATTTAATGCATGCTCACCTGCATACTTTGACTTGGAATTAAACACATGTTGGTGGAGCCCTATACTTGTAATGTCCCGAGTTTCAAATTAGTATATTTCGAGGAAAATTGGAACAAACACAGAAAAGTTCAACGTTTAAACCGTTGTTCGAATAGGCAATCTCAAAAACCGTGGATGCATAGAACTTGTTGAGTACTGCAAAATAGACTCGAAGTTTATAGTAATCGGAGTCCAAACGATGTTCCGGGGATTGAAACCGTTAGATCTCCTTTTAGTCTCTTTATATAAAAAAAAGGGAAAAAGGAGAGAACGCTACAGCCTGCCCTAGCCGCCACACTCCTGTGCTGTGGCCGCGGCCACTGTCGTCCTGGTTGCCGCCGCCGTCTTTCCGCCGCCACCACGGCCATAGCTGGAGGCCGCAGCCGTCGCCATCCATCGCAACCGGTTGTTTCTTTCTGTTTTGCTTTTTCCCGGTGAGTTCCTGCTGCTGCTGCTGCTTCTTCTTCTACCGTTTCCTGCTGTTGCCGATCTGATCTATTCCTTTCTGCTGCTGCTAATGCATGGTTTGCTGCTGCTGCTGATGTGATCTCTTCGGCCTTGCTGCTGCTGCTGCTGCATCGATCAGAGAGAAGGGTCCAGAGAGCAGACCAGGAAGCAGTTGAACATGAGGAAGGAGAGGAAAAGGCAGAGCAACTTTGAGGAATTCAGCGATCTCGTAAATTAGGGAAATTTGTTGCAAGTTAGTGTTCCTCCTTTGCAAGGGTAACTTGTTTTCAGTCCCTAGACGTAAGAGATTTGAATAGAAATTAATTCGCTGGTCGTTTGTACAATTTTTTGAGGTTTTTGATTATGCACTGGCTGTATTATCAAAACTGGTAGCAAACAATCGGGTTTCAGGTTAGTTGTCCTAAATGAAGTTTGTAGTCATCGCTCGAATCCTACAAACGGTTTAGGAGAAACA